GGCTTGCCACAGGCGGCTGTATACTTCTGGTACGCTCTCTTCTTCAGCACTCCCGTGTTGGTGCGCGCCTTGAAGCACATTCCCTCGAATCCACCAGCCCCTTCGGGGCCGCGCAGCGTGGGAGGCTTTTCCTTCATGTAATTGCTGGGGGGCCGCGCGCCGATTTGGGGCGCGCCGGGGCGCTCCGAGAGAGGCCACCAGAAAACCCGAGGCCAACTGAGGCCCTCAGACTCAAGCACAAGCGCCGGTGCGAAAAGCGGCACAACGCGCTTTGCAGCGCCTGTCGAACCCGAAGCACTGTCGCCCGGGAGAGACTGCATCAAACCCGCCCAAGACGAACGGAGAGCGGCCCGAAGCTGTCCGGCGAGGCCCGGTATGCCCTAAACGGCGACTGGGAAATGCCTGGGAAGGCTTTCGGACAAACTCGAGCGCCGCCTATGCGGCGCAAAAGGGCCCTCCGAGGGCCTCTGGGCGGCCCGGCCCGAGAGGGCCCGAGAGGGCCGCGAGGCGCCCCACCAAGACTTTAGCTGAGCACGCGGCCAATCCAACAAAAACGCAAGGAGCCCCCAAGGCACCCCCGCCAGAACAAACGGGACGTCGGGCGCGGCGCAAGCCCACTGAATTCCGTACACGCGCCTTCGTGCACGGCTGCCCACCCATCCTTCACGCACTGCGGCTCCTCATCCTTTTTGAAAGCCTTCGCGAAGGCACTGTATTCTTCGATGGCCTCGGAGTGGGGCCGCCGAGTATCCCCCCATCTCTATCCCTCCCCCTCCTCCCCCCGCCCGACTTGCCCCTCTCTGTCTCCCACCCTCACCTTGCCCCTCCCCCTCCCTTCCCCGTTTTTGGGGAAGGAGGAAAACTGAGGGGAACGAAATGTCCAGCACACGTTATCCACTCGCACCGCCACCAAAAACGCGCACCGGAGCCAGACGAACGAGGAGGAAAAGGAGGGGAGGAGGGAGAGTGGGCAGCGGGGTTGCCAGAAAACGGCACGTTCGCATCGCCTCCTCCCCCTTCCCTCCTCCAGCAAGGGCCACCGGAGGTGCCCGGAGGATCCCCAGAAGACCGCCGCGAGGCCTCCTCCGTCGTCGTCGTCGTCGTCGTCGTCGTCGTCGTCGTCGTCGTCGTCGTCGTCGTTGCCGCGGTCGTCGCCGCTGCGATGGCGACGACGACGACGACGACGACGACGACGACGACGACGACGACGACCCCCTCTCGCACCCCATTGCCCCCCTCCCTGGCGGTGGCAAATAACCATTAATGCCGTAGGCGGCGCCTGCTTCACCTGCCCCGACCTGGTCTTGATGGCAGCCCCATAGGCGCGGACGCACGTCTCGCCAGCAATTGGGACAAGATCATCAAATCATACCAGCCCTTCAGGGCGGAGCAGGTTCGGAGTGTTTCCTCTTCCACCCACCCACCCTTAGGAGAGGAGTTTGCCAATCCCCCTACCCCTTCCCCCTGGACCTGGACGGAGGGGAAGTCGCGAGGGGTTGGAGAGCCTAAGATGGCTCCAAATGGGCATCCGGGAGACCAAGATGATCTCCAAGATGGCCCAAGATACTCCAAGATCGGTCCAGATGGTTTCCAACATGCTCCAAAAGGCCCCAATACCACTCGAATACTGGCCCAAGAAGCCTCGGAAACTCCCAAGGAGCCCCCCAAAAGGCCAACATCAATGGTGTTGGCCTTCTCGCCCACTCGCGTCCGATGAGCCCCCGAGGCCTCAAGATGTTTCCACGATGGCCCAACAGGGCCCCAAGAGAAGCCCAATAATCCCCCAAGACGGCACCAAGAGAGCCCAAGAGCGACCCAAGGACGCCCCAAGAGGGCTCCAACAGGCGATCTTAGGGACTCTAGAGAGGCAGCCGTCATTAGGGCCCCCTCTTGGATCAACAAAACGCTGAGACACACAGAAATGGCTTTGAAGGATGTTCGCTTTTCGGGGGCATCTTTGGGAGGCGTTTGACCGATGAGGGCTCCAATATCTCCCCGGATGCTTCAGGATGGCCTCCAAGATGGCGCAATATTGCCCAAGCTCGCTCAAGACGGCATCCAAAATGCCTCCAAGAAGCCCCATGATGGCCCCGGAATGAGCCCAAGTGGCCACGGAACCTCCCGAGGCGGCCCCCAAGATGCCAAAACCCTTCCGGCACCTGAAGAAAATTAATAATTTAGGCTTTCACGCCGTTTCGGTTCCCGTGGGCTCCCGAGGCCTCACGAGGGTTCCAAGATTGCCCAGGAGGGCCCCAAGAGAGGCCCGAGAAGCCCCCAAGACGGCCCCAAGAGCGCCCCAAGAGGGCCCCAACGGGCCAGTTTAAAGCTCAAGAGGGGGCCCTAATTGCCCCCCCCCTCTCTGATAGATATCCTCCTAAACGATTCAAAAAAGGGGCCCAAGATGGCCCCGAGAGGGGCCGTAGAGGCCCCAAGAGACCCCTCAGAGGCGCCCGACACGCACCAAGAGGCCCCCGGCACCGCCAAGAGACCCCTAAAACGCCCCAGGACGCCTCTGGCATTTCTGCTCGCCCTCCTGCTGCTACTGTTGCTGTTGCTGCTGCTGCTGCTCCTTCTCCTCCTCCTTCTCCTCCTCCTCCTCCTCCTCCTCCGCCTATTCCCCCTCATGTTCGCCCCTCCCTCCTCATTCCTCCTCCTCCTCCTCCTCCTCCTCCTCCTCATCATCATCATCATCATCACCATCCGCATCATCATATTCATCATCATCATCGCCATCATCATCATTATCAGCATCATCATCCGATTGTTCCTCATCAGTTCCTTTCCTCCTTCATCCCAACTCCTCCTCCTCCTCCTCCTCCACCTCCCCCTCCTCTTCCTCCTCTTCCTCCCCCTCCTCCTCCCGACGAAATAACGTGCAACGAGGGCGCCGCCCCTTGCGATTGCATCGCCTGGGGGGTCGCCCGAAACAACAAATGCCCAGTGCTTATGAGGACACCGTTCGCGGCAGGGCCCGCTCGCCCCCCTCATCCTGGTTCCCATGCTCCTTTCCTTCCTTCCTGGCCCCCCTCCCATCCTCGTCTCCCCCTCCCTCCTCCTCCTCCTCCTCCTCCTCCTTCTTCTCCACCTGTTCTGTGAAATCCCGAAGAAGGATTCAACCAGATGGCGTTGCCTTTTCTGCGCGGTGTGAGCCAAAACGCCAGCGTGCACGTGGCAAAGTCTTGCGGTACATACTAAGAGCTTCGCCCAGCAGCGGCAGATTTCTCAAAGCGAGCCACAGCGCCAGCGGGCGCGTGGCAAAGTCCTGCGGTACATATTTAGGTGCGTCGTCGGGCAGCGACGAGGTGACGTCGCCTTTTCTGCGCGGCTTGAGCCACAACGCCAGCGGGCGCGTGGCAAAGCCCTGCGTTAGTTAGATATTTAAGTGCTTCGCCAAGCAGCGGCACATTCCTCGGGGCGAGCCACATCGCCAGCGGGCGCGTGGCAAAGTCCTGCGGTACATAATTAAGTGCTTCGTTTGGCAGCGACAAGGTGGCGTCGCCTTGTCTGCGCGGCTTCAGCCACGACGCCAGCGAGCGCGTGGCAAAGTCCTGCGGCGTGCGTTTCAATGCTTCGCCCGGCAGCGGCAAATTCCTCGGGGTGAGCGGCGGCGCCAGCGGGCGCGTGGCAAAGTCCTGCGGTTCATATGTAAGTGCTTCGTCTGGCAGCGACAAGGTGGCGTCGCCATTTCTGCGCGGCTTGAGCCACAAAGCCAGCGGGCGCGTGACAAAGTCCCGCGGTACATATTTAAGTGCTTCGCCTGGCAGCGGAAAATTCCTCGGGGCGAGCCACATCGCCAGCGGGCGCGTGGCAAAGTCCTGCGGTACATATTTAAGTGTTTCGTCTGGCAGCTACAAAGTGGCGCCGGCTTCTCTGCGCGGCTTGAGCCACGACGCCAGCGGGCACGCGGGGAAGTCCTGCGGGACATATTATATAAGCGCCTCACCCCGCAGCGGCACATTTCTCGGGGAGCGCCACAACGCCAGCGGGCGCGTGGCAAAATCCTGCGGTACATATTAAAGCGCTTCGTCTGGCAGCGACAAGGTGGCGTCGCCTTTTCTGCGCGGCTTAAGCGGCTTCAGCCACGACGCCAGCGGGCGCGTGGAAAAGTCCCGCGGTACATATTCAGGTGCCTCGCCGGGAAGCGGTGCATTCCTCGGGGTGAGCCACGGCGCCAGCGGGCGCGCGGCAAAGTCCGGCGGTACATATCTATGCTCTTCGTCTGGCAGCGACATGGTGGCGTCGCCTTTTCTGCGCGGCTTGAGCCACAACGCCAGCGGGCGCGTGGCAAAGTCCAGCGGCACATACTAAAGTGCTTCGCCCGGCAGCGGCACATTCCTCGGGGTGCGCCACAAAGCCAGCGGGCGCGTGGCAAGGTCCTGCGCATCATATTTAAGTGCTTCCGTCTGGCAGCGACAAGGCGGCGTCGCCGTTTGCGCACGGCTTCAGCCACGACGCCAGCGGGCGCGTGGCAAAGTCCAGCGGTACATAGAGAGGCGCTTCGCCCGGCAGCGGCAAATTCCTCGGGGTGAGCCACAACGCCAGCGGGCGCGTGGCAAAGTCCTGCTGTACATAATTAAGTGCTTCGTCTGGCAGCGACAAGGTGGCGTCGCCTTTTCTGCGCGGCTTCAGCCACGACGCCAGCGAGCGCGTGGCAAAGTCCCGCGGTGCATATTTCAATGCTTCGCCAGGCAGCGGCAAACTCATCGGGGTGAGCCGCGGCGCCAGCGGGCGCGTGGCAAAGTCCTGCGGTTCATTTTAATTTAAGTGCTTCGTCTGGCAGCGACAAGGTGGCGTCGCCTTTTTCTGCGCGGCTTGAGCCACGACGCCAGAGGGCGCGTGACACAGTCCCGCGGTGCATATTTAAGTGCTTCGCCTGGCGGCGGCAAATTCCTCCGGGCGAGCCACATCGCCAGCGGGCGCGTGGCAAAGTCCTGCGGTACATATTAAAGCACTTTGTCTGGCAGCTACAAAGTGGCGCCGCCTTCTCTGCGCGGCTTGAGTCACAGCGCCAGCGGGCGCGCGGGGAAGTCCTGCGGGACATATTCAAGCGCCTCACCCCGCAGCGGCACTTTCCTCGGGGAGCGCCACAATGCCAGCGGGCGCGTGGCAAAGTCCTGCGGTACATATTAAAGCGCTTCGTCTGGCAGCGCCAAGGTGGCGTCGCCATTTCTGCGCGGATTCAGCCACGACGCCAGCGGGCGCGTGGAAAAGTCCTGCGGTACATATTCAAGTGCCTCGCCAGGAAGCGGCAAGCGGCGCGTTCCTCGGGGTGGGCCACGGCGCCAGCGGGCGCGCGGCAAAGTCCTGCGGTGCATATCTATGTTCTTCGTCTGGCAGCGACATTGTGGCGTCGCCTTTTCTGCGCGGCTTGAGCCACAACGCCAGCGGGCGCGTGGCAAAGTCCAGCGGTACATACTAAAGTGCTTCGCCCGGCAGCGGCACATTCCTCGGGGTGCGCCACAACGCCAGCGGGCGCGTGGCAAAGTCCTGCGCATCATATTTAAGTGCTTCGTCTGGCAGCGACAATGCGGCGTCGCCGTTTGTGCACGGCTTCAGCCACGACGCCAGCGGGCGCGTGGCAAGGTCCCGCGGTACATGGAGAAGCGCTTTGCCCGGCAGCGGCACATTCCTCGGGGTGAGCCACAACGCCAGCGGGCGCGTGGTAAAGTCCTGCGATACATAATTAAGTGCTTCGTCTGGCAGCGACAAGGTGGCGTCGCCTTTTCTGCGCGGCTTCAGCCACGACGCCAGCGAGCGAGTGGCACAGTCCCGCAATACATATTTCAGTGCTTCTCACGGCAGCGGCAAATTCCTCGGGGCGAACCACAACGCCAGAGGGCGCGTGGCAAGGTCCTGCGGTGCATATTTCAATGCTTCGTCTGGCAGCGACAAGGTGGCGTCGCCTTTTCTGCGTGGCTTCGCAAAACCAGCGGGCGCGTGGCAAAGTCTTGCGGTGCATATGTATGTGCTTCGCCCGGCAGCGGCAAATTCCTCGGGGTGAGCCACAACGCCAGCGGGCGCGTGCCAACGAGGCCTGCGGTTCAGATTTACGTGCTTCCTCTAGCAGCGACAAGGTGGCGGCGCTTGATCTGCGCGGCTTGGGCCACAGCGCCAGCGGGCGCGTGGCTAAGTCCTGCGGTGCATATTTAAGTGCTTCGCCCGGCAGCGGCACATTCCTCGGGGTGCGCCACAACGCCAGCGGGCGCGTGGCAAAGTCTCGCGGTAGTTCTCTAAGTGCTTCGTCTGGCAGCGACAAGTTGGCGTCGCCTTTTTCTTCGCGGCTTCGGCCAGCAGACGTCGCGTGGCCCAGCAGCCACGGGGGGGGGAAGATAACGACTGGTGCGTCCATAGGTCGTGCTCGTGGTGCGGCGTCGGCGGGAGCCGCAGCACAGCGGTCGTCGTCGCCCTGACAATCCCACGGTTTACCCCTGACGCCGAGGATCTCCACCTCGGCCCAAGCCCAACGCTGGTCTGGCGGCAATCGAGCAACCGCCGTCCCACGCTGGGCGCCTTTCGCAGTAAGCGCCAAAGCCGTACCGCTCCTGCTGGTATGCCCAGTATAGTACCCAGTAACCCAGCGTGGCTCCAGGTCGCGCTTGAGCGCGTCCTCAACCAGCCTTTTGACGCTGGTACGCTCGCCGAAGGATACTGCAACTCGCTTCCAGCGCTTGCCGCTGGTGTTTTGATAGGCTGTATTGCCGTCGTCTCCTAGCCCAGGCCCAGACCCGTTGGGCACCTGCGCCGTGTATATCGGAGCCCACAGCGCGATAGGATGACCAAATGGCAGCTTGCGATCCCACCTGGCCTGAGCAGCGACGATCAGAGTCCTGATGACGCCCTTGATCTCCTCCACAGCTTTCTCAGCTGCTCCATTCGGCCTGGAACTCGTCGACCAGGCTTTCTGGAAGAAGATGCTCTCGGCCCTCGCACATGCTGCAAACGTCGTTCTTGAACGCTAGCATTGGGTTCTCGCCATCCGACTGGAACGCGCAACGTGTATGCCCGATGTGGTTGAAGAAGTCGATGCATACGCGCGTGCTCAACTCGCCCGTGCCTTCCGCCAGTACTGAGCTCGCCCCGTAGCATACCGCCCCACTGGGTAACGTGTCGTGCGCGACGATCAGCGCGATGGCGTGATTGTCTCCTCCTCGGCCGTCCGACCCCGAGGGGCTGAGATAGTCGTAGTAACCGCAGTGGTCGGAAGCTCACCATCCCTAGCGTGACGACCTCTGTGAGCTTGACCCGTGCCTTGGGCCTCGTGGCACGCACGGCACCAGGACCGAAAGTCAACATGGCCCTGAGCATCGTGCTCGTCGATCTCCGCCTGCGACGGTAGTTTCGTGTCCTCAGGGTGCCGCACTTTGAGTGGACGCCCGATTCGGCCCTCCTCGCTCCTCCTCTAGGGGTTCCGCGCCCCGTGCCAGCGCCCCCAGCGCTGGCGGCGCTGGCGGACTTACAGACGGGCTGGCCGGCGGCCCCCCGACCCCGAACCTGCGGCGGCAGCGGCTGCGGCACCACGCGCCGTGACTCCCTCGGCTGTGCGGAGTAATCGAGTCGTGTGGGTGAACGCGAGGCCCCGCGGCTATGCCACGAGCGCCTGCTGCATCAGTCTGGCGAGCTGCACGCTAACCATCAACAGTATGAACGGGTAGCGCCCTGAGCGCCTCGGCCCTGGCCTTCGGCAGCTTCATGCAAGCGTTGTAGACGCCGTTCTCCTGATGCGGCTTGATGTCCTCGTCGACCTCGCCACTCCTCTGGAACCGGTTGATCACCTTCGCCCTGCCCGCCGTGGAGCCTAGATCGAGGGCCCGACCCTTCCTGTCGCCAACGACGCTGACCTAGCCCCGCAAAAGTCGCCGCGACAAAAAGCTTATTAGCTCCAGTTCGGCGCCCTCGCAGGCGCCAGGGAATGCCGCTCTCGGCGGTACCCTCCAGTAGGCCGCCGCCCTCATGTCGTAGCTGTGTGTCGTCGGCGGTCTGGTAGCGCACGTTGTTCGGCTCCGTATTCTGCGAACTCCAGTCGCGAGGGATGGCCGATCTCGCGCGCCCACTCTCAAAGTTAACCTTGAGCCAACCTCGACCATCTACTACTGAGCGGGGCCCCGCCCGGTCGGCTGTGCTCAGCCGCGGTCGCTGTCAGGTCGACGGCTGCGCCATCAATCCCGAGCAGGTCTTGGACTAGACAGTGAAGCTCCTCCTCCTGCTCACCCTCCCCGGTGTCGAGGGCACGAGCGTGGGCGCCCCTCTTGGGCGCTGCCTTAGGCCTTAGGCTTGGCGCTTGGCTAGCCGCTAGCCTCGGCCTTCGCCGCCGCGACGCTCGTGGGGTTCGCGGGGTTCCAGCACTCGTGGGACTTGTAACCTGTAGCACCACAATTAAAGCCTGTGGTGTGAGCCTGAAAACCGCCGGCTATGCCAGCAGCCCCTCGACCTCCACCATGCTTGCCTCCTGGCGGGCCGCCGGCTGCGCCAGCAGTCGCGTCCTCGCCCTTGCATTTACCTGCGCTCTTACCTTTACCCCTACCCGCCCCCTTGAAACCTCGGACCGCGGAGTTCACCACCCGCAACGCGCGCGCGCGCGAACCCGACGCCCATGGCGTTGGGGTCGCGCCGGGGCCGGGCCAGCACCGAGGCGCCCCTGAGACGCGAGCCCGCGCGAGCCTCGAGGTAGGACGCGATCTCGCGCCTGAACAGCTCGCGGGTGTCCAGGCGAGACTGGTCGAGCAAGACGTGTTCGTCCAGTTGACATCTTGACGCTCCAAAAAAGCTGTTCGCGGTTGCCGCCGTCGCCCCTCCTGGATCCTGGATTCAACGCTTAACCGCCTCCTCTTACCCCCCAGGCCGTTCGCGAGCTCCTCGAGCTTGCAGCGAGCAGGTGAGAGAACCTGCTTGAGGGGGGCCCTCTTCAGCCCTCCTGTGGAAGGGTCGAGGCGGCGCGCCAGGCGGCGCCAGCACTCGAACCCGCTCCCCTTCCCGACGCCCTGGATGATGTCGAACGGCTCGCCGGTGCTCAACTGCTGCAGTGCCGCGTGCCGCTGAGTCACCATCTCGTCGAAGCCCTCGATCGGGCCCCCCACGGCGCCTGCCCCTTGGCCGCTGGGCCCAAAGGCACCACGCCAGCGCGCGGCCTGCATGGTGCCCGTGCGATCCAGGGCCCATTCGAACACCCACGACAAAAGACTCGAACTTGGCAGCCCACTCGCGGTACTTCGACTCTGCACCGTCGAAGGCTGTAGGCTTGCCAATCCCCTTGTTGTCCACCAAGGTGGGACGTGCCGACGGCTGCGCCGTCAGCTGCGTCACCGCCTGCACCAACGCTGGGATGGCCTGGACGCCCCCCCGCGCCTCCAGCCACAGGCGCGCACTGCCCGCAGCCAACGCCCTCACCTGCTCGGGCAGCGCCTGCAGCTGCTAAGTCAACTCAGCGTTGAAGGCCATCGCGGTTCCCCTCGGCTGTGCCTGCGATCGATCCTCGTGCAGAGCTCGACGACGCGCGTGGTAGAACTTAAGCGCCTCGCCTCTGACGTGCCAGCTCCTCTGGAGCCTGACGACCCTGATGGGGTGCAAGAAGATGCGCGCCCAGAGCGCGGTCTTGGTCTCTTCGGCGGCCTACAGGACAATGTCCGAGCTGTCGTCCGTGTTCGTAACGCCGCTCCGCTACCATGAAGAAGATATGTATGATGATAGTTATAGTTCATCCGCCCCCAGCGGATCGGACAGAAACCGGCACGGAGGAGTACGATAGCCAGCGTGCACGCTTAGATTGCGCAGTGGTAGCATAGCAGAGCTAAGGAGGGATAACACGTCGGTTTTTCTCTGCAGCGGCACACTCCCTGGGGTGAGCCACAACGCCTGCGGGCGCGTAGCAAAGTACGGCGGTGCATATTTAAGTGCTTCGCCTGGCTTCAACATGGCGGCGTCGCCTTTTCCGCGCGGCTTGAGCCGCGACGCCAGCGGGCGCGTGGAAAATCCCTGCGGTACACATATATGTCTGTATTTATATATATATATATATATATATATATATATATATATATATGTTAAGCGCTGCGTCTGGCAGCGACAAATCCCACCTGCCCTTTAGGGCGTGAGTGGTTTAGCGAGCCCCCTCTGTCCTCAACCCCCCTTCTTCCCCTTCGGGGAAGGGTTTACCCCTCCCCCTACCCCCTCCCCCTGGGCCTGGAGAGGGCGGCCCGCGGGTCGTCAGGGGGGTCTTTTTCGACGCCTGGGAGGGCTAAAAAACGACCACCCTCACGAGGATTCTGGCCCCGACGGGGGGGCGCTCTTCTTGTAGCCCCCTCCTCTTCTGTGAAGCCAAAATCCTTGCTTTTACGGGGGTGTTGGCCCCATTTTGGCCTCCCGAGGGGGCCGCGCTCATTTTCCTTCATATCAAAATCATTGTTTTTACAAGGGTGTTGGGCTCATTTTGTCCTTCTCAGGGGGCAGCGCTTCTTTGCGCTTCTGAGGAGGTCGCAAGGGGCCCCAAGATGGCCCCAAGAGGCCCCCAGGAGCCTCCCAAGGAGGCCTCCAAGAGGCCCCCAAGAGGCCCCCAAGAGGCCCCAAGAGGCCCCCAAGAGGCCCCCCAGAGGCCCCCAAGATGCCCCCAGAGGCCCCAGGAGGCCCCCAAGAGGCCCCCAAGAGGCCCCCAAGAGGCCCCCAAGAGGCCCCAAGAGGCTCCAAGAGGCCCCCAAGAGGCCCCACGAGGAGCCCGAACGACTCACACCAGGACGAGGGGCCCGAACGACTCATACCACGAAGAACCCGAACGACTCCCGCCAGAAGGAGGACCCCGAACGACTCCTACCAGGACGAGGCGCCCGACCCATTCACACCACGAGGAGCCCGAACGACTCACACCACGACGCGGGCCCCGAACTACTCACACCACGAGGAGCCCGAACGAGTCACACCAGGAGGAGGGGCCCGAACGACTCACACCAGGATGAGGGGCCCGAACAACTCACACCACGAGAAGCCCGAACGACTCACACCAGGACGAAGAGCCCGAACGACTCACACCACGAAGAGCCCGAACGACTCACACCAGGAAGAAGGGCCCGAACGACTCACACCAGGACGAGAAACCCCAAACGACTCAAATCACGAGGAGCGCTTTCTCTCCCTCCTCCTCCGCCTCGTCCTTCTCCCGCCCCCCCAACAAGGAGGATGTGCAAGGAGGCGGGAGGAAGGAGGAGCAGGGGAGATATGCGGGGCCAAACGGACACACGCCTGAAAAAACACGACTGTCGGCATGCTTCGCATGAGTTGCTGTTGTGAGATGGGCTGGTGGGGATACGCGAAGCGTAAAGAATTCCTCTGGGCGCGGTTACGGGATGATTTTACACCCCCTCCCCCTCCTCCTCCTCCTCCTCCTCCACCTCCTCCTCCTCCTCCTCCTCCTCATCCTCCTCCTCCTCCTCCTCCTCCTCCTCCTCCTCCTCCTCCTCCTCCTACTCCCCCGACTCATCTTACTCCTTCGGACGATAACGGCAGCCCCCCTCTTCGCCCCTACACGTCCCTGATCAGCTCAACCCGGCTGGGCGCCGTCTCTGGATGGGCTGGTGGGGATACGCGAAGCGTAAAAAATGTGGCCTCCTGCGCAATGTCTTTCTTCTGACTCTCGTTCGCGCGCCCGCCGCCGCTGATGAGCTTGAGCTTCTCCGTCTTCTCCTCCAAGTCCTGTGAGGCACCGTCGTAGCCGCCGTCGCCGTCGTCGTCGTCGTCGTCGTCGCCGTCGCCGTCGTCGTCGTCGTCGTCGTCGTCGTCGTCGCCCTCGTCGCCGTCGTCACCCTCGTCGTCGTCGCCGTCGCCGTCGTCATCGTCGTCGCCCTCGTCGTCGCCGTCGCCGTCGTCGTCGTCGTCGTCGTCCGTCATCGTCGTCGTCTGTCGTCGTCATCGTCGACGTCGTCGTCGTCGCCGGGGCCCCGGGCGGGCTCCTTCTCCAACGCCGCGGTGGCCGCGTCGACGTCGTCCGTGTGGGGGTCCGTGCTATCATGGGGGCCGAAGGTGTCCTGGAAGGCCTGCTTGATCTTGTCGATGTGGTGGGCGCAGTGAATCTCGCCCGGCGTGTCCGAGACGCACTGCACGTCGGAGTGCATGTTCTTTGCTGTCTGGATCTTCGAAAGCACGGGCGCCAGCTCCAGCGGGGTGGAACCAGTCCCAATGGTCGACAATGCGCGATGCTCCTTCATGACGCCGAAGCCCTTCTCCAGCAGCGCCTTCATGTGCGCGTGCTCCTTCGCCTCGTCGCCGCACTTCAGCGCCTTCATCCCGTCGAAGCTGTGAATGCGGCCAAGGATGTCCATGACTGTCGTCTCCAGCTCCTGCTGCATGTCCGGCTCCTTTATGATCTTCACGACCGCCTCGTAAACAAATGCACGCATGTCATGGATTTTCTGGCACGTCTCGATGTCCAAAGAGATGAACTCAGCAGCCTTGAAGGTATCCAGCATGCTCGGCAGCTCGGACGGGTTGCCCGTGTACTTCTCGGCCCACTTGTTTACGTCGGTAATCGCTGAAATCCCACGAGCCCTTCAGGGCCATGGTGGTCTAGAGAGCCTCCTCTTGCAGACAATTTCTCCCCCTTGGGGGAGGGTGTACCCCTACCCCCACCCCCATCCCCTGGACATGGGCGGGGCGCCCCACGGGTCGCTGGAGCGCCGAAGATAGCCCAGGATGGCCCCCAGAGGGCTCCAGAGAGGCCAAGATAACATCCAAGATACCGCGAGATAGTCCAACATGGTTCCATATAGTTTTCAGACCGCCTCCAAGAGCACTCAAGGCCGCCCCAGGACGGCTCCAAGTGCCCTCCGAACCTCCCAGGGAGGCCCCCAAGAAGCCAAATTCTTTCAACAGCTTTGTCTTTTTTTCCCCATGTGTGTTCCCAACCCTCCTGTGGTGTTGGGTCTTCGTTTTGAAGTGAGGGCGCCCCGCGTCACTCCTCCTCCTCCTCCTCCTCCTCCTCCTCCTCCTCCCCCTCCTCCCTCCTCCCCCGCGTCGCGCTGGTGACCACGCCCATGTCGGCGCACCCCTCAAGCGCTTCGTGGCCCCATAGGGGGCTCCACCGACGGCCCCAGTGGGCGCGGGCGCATTACTGACCACGCCCACTTCGGCACACCCCTCGCGCGTTTCGTGGCGCCATAGGGCGCTCCACCGACGGCCTCAGTGGGCGCGACCGCACGCGCATGACTGACCACGCCCATGTCGGCACACCCCTCACACGTCTGGTGGCCCCATGGGGAGCTCCACCCAAGGCCCCAATGGCTGCGGGCGTATTACTGACCACGCCCATTTCGGCACACCCCTCACGCGTTCCGTGGCCCATAAGGAGCTCCACCGACGGCCCCAGTGGGCACGCGCGCATGACTGACCACGCCCATTTCGGCACACCCCTCACGCGCTTCTTCGCGGCCCCATAGGGAGCCCCACCGACGGCCCAAGTGGGCGCGGGCGTATTACTGACAACGCCCATGTCGGCACACCCCTCACATGTTTCGCGCCCCATGGGGAGCTCCACCGGCGGCCCCAGTGGGCGCGGGCGCATTACTAACCACGCCCATTTCGGCACACCCCTCACGCGTTTCGTGGCCCCATAAAGGAGCTCCACCGACGGCCCCAATGGGCGCGGGCGCATTACTGACCACGCCAATTTTTGCACACCATTCACACGTCTGGTGGCCCCATAATGAGCTCCACCCAAGGGCCCAGTAGGCGCGGGCGCATTACTGACCACGCCCATTTCGGCACACCCCTCACATGTCTGGTGGCCCCATGAGGAGCTCCACCCAAGGCCCCAGTGAGCGCGGGCGTATTACTGACCACGCCCATTTCGGCACACTCCTCGCACGTTTCGTGGCCCCATATGGGTGCTCCACCGAATCCTCGAGTGGCCGCGGGCGCATTACTGACCACGCCCATTTCGTCACACCCCCCACGCGCTTCGTGGCCCCATGGCGAGCTCCACCGACGGCCCCAATGGGCGCGGGCGCATGACTGACCACGCCCATTTCGGCACACCCCTCACGCGCTTCGCGGCCCTATAGGGCGCTCCACCGACGGCCTCAGCGGGCGCGACCGTATGATTGACCACGCCCATTTCGGCACACCCCTCACACGTCTGGTGGCCCCATGAGGAGCTCCACCCAAGGGCCCAGTGGGCGCTGGCGCATTACTGGCCACGCCCATTTCGGCACACCCCTCACGCGCTTCGTGGCCCCATAAGGAGCTCCACCCAAGGGCCCAATGTGCGCGGGCGGGTTACTGACCACGCCCATTTCGGCACACCCCTCACGCGTTTCGTGGCCCCATATGGGGGCTCCACCGAAGGCCCCAGTGGCCGCGGGCGCATGACTGACCACGCCCATGTCGGCACACCCCTCACGCGCTTCGTGGCCACATGGGGAGCTCCACCGACGGCCCTAGTGGACGCGGGCGCATCACTGACCACGCACATTTCGGCACACCCCTCACGCGCTTCGTGGCCCAATAAGGAGCTCCACCGACGGCCCCAGTGAGCGCGGGCGCTTTACTGACCACGCCCATTTCGGCACACCCCTCACATGTCTGGTGGCCCCATGAGGAGCTCCACCCAAGGGCCCCAGTGGGCGCGGGCGCATTACTGACAACGCCCATTTCGGCACACCCTCATGCCTTCGTGGCCCCAAAGGGAGCCCCACTGGCTGCCCCAGCGGGCGCGGGCGTATTACGGACCACGCCCATGTGAGCACACCCCTCGCGCGTTTCGTGGCCCCGTATGGGGGCTCCACCGAATCCTCTAGTGGCCGCGGGCGTATTACTGGCCACGCCCATTTCGGCACACCCCGCACGCGCTTCGTGGCCCCATGGGGAGCTCCACCGACGGCCCCAATGGGCGCGGGCGGATTACTGACCACGCCAATTCGGGCACACCCCTCACGCGTTCTGCGGCCCCATAAGGAGCTCCACCGACGGCCCCAGTGGGCGCGGAGCGCAATACTGACCACCCCATTCGGCACACCACTCACACGTCCTGGCGGCCCCATAAGGAAGCTCCACACAGGGCCCAGGTTTCCGCGGGCGCATTCTGACCACGACCCATATTCGGCGCCGCCCCTCACCAGGGCGCGTCGTGGCCCAATTAAGATAGCTCCACACAAGCCCCAATGAGCGCGTGCGAATTATGACCACGCTCATCTTTCGGCACACCCCTCACGCGCTTCGTGGCCCCATATTGGGCTCCACCGATCCTCTCGCGGCCGCGGGCGCAGTCTGACCGCGCCCATGTCCGGCACACCCCTCACGCGCTTCGTGGCCCCATGGGGAGCTCCACCGACGGCCCCAGTGGGCGCGGGCGCATTACTGGCCACGCCCCATTTCGGCACACCCCTCACGCGCTTCGCGGCCCCATAAGGAGCTCCACCGACGGCCCCAGCGGGCGCGGGCGCATTACTGACCTCGCAAATTTCGGCAATCCCTTCACGCGTGTCGTGGCCCCATAAGGAGCTCCACCCAAGGCCCCAGTGGGCGCGGGCGCATTACTGACCACGCAAATTTCGGCACACCCCTCACGCGTTTCGCGGCCCCATAAGGAGCTCCACCCAAGGCCCCAGTGAGCGCGGGCGCATTACTGACCACGCCCATTTCGGCACACCCCTCACGCGTTTCGTGGCCCCATATGGGGGCTCCACCGAATCCTCTAGTGGCGCGTGCGTATTACTGACCACGCCCATTTCGGCACACCCCTCACGCGTTTCGCGGCCCCATGGGGAGCTCCCCCGATGGCCCCAGTGGGCGCGGGCGCATTACTGACCACGCCCATTTCGGCACACCCCTCACGCGCTTCGCGGCCCCATAAGGAGCTCCACCGACGGCCCCAGTGGACGCGGGCGCATTACTGACCACGCCCATTTCGGCACACCCCTCACAGGTCTGATGCCCCCAAAAGGAGCTTCACCCATGGGCCCAGTGACTGCGGGCGTATTACTGACCACGCCCATTTCGGCACACCCCCTGCGCTTCGTTGCACAAATGTAGCTCCACTGGCTGCCCCTCAGTGGTCGCGGCGTATTACTGACCACTCACACTTCGGCATGCACTCCCTTCACGCGTTTCCCGCGAATTCCATTAGGAGCTTCCACCCAAGCCCCCGGTGGTCAGCTGGGGCCCATTACTTGAACGGCACGCCATTCGGCAACCTACCGACCCCTCACGCGCGTTTCGTGGCTCTTGGCCCCATCAGGGATCTCCACCGAATGCTCCAGTGGCCGCAGGCGCATTACTGACCACGCCCATGTCGGCACACCCCTCACGCGTTTCGCGGCCGCACATGGAGCTCCAACGAAGGTCCTAGTGGCCGCGTTCGCATAGCTGACCACGCCCACTTCGGCACACCCCTCACGCGCTTCGTGGCCCCATGGGGTGCTCAACCCAAGGTCCCAATGGCCGCGTTCGCATAGCTGACCACGCCAACGTCGGCACACCCCTCGCGCGCTTGGTGCCCCCACCCCCCCCCCCCCCGGGACTCCCACCCAAGGCTTTCATTTTTGGTGATTACCATGTCGGCTTTTTGCATTGTGAATTCGGTTCATGCAGAACTGCGCCGCCGCGCGCGCGCGGCGGGAGACCCACCGCCCTTCGGCCCCCTTAAAGGGCTCCAGAAAAAATCAAATCCAGTTTTTGGCGATGACATGTCGGCTTCTGTATTGTGAACAATGCAGAACTGCGCCGCCGCGCGCGCGCGGCGGATGACCCACCGTCCAGTTTTGTGAATTACATGTCGGCTTTTGTATTGTGGACACTGCAGAACTGCGCCGCCGCGCGCGCGCGCGGCGGGTAACCCACCGCCCTTCGGCCTCCTTAAAGGGCTCCAGAAAAAATCAAATCCAGTTTTGGAAATTACATGTTGGCTTTTGTATTGTGAACAATGCAGAACTGCGCCGCATCGCGCGCGCGCGGCGGGTGACCCACCGCCCTTGGGCTCCAGAATTATTCAAATCCAACCTGGGGAACTACATGTCGGCTTTTGTAGTGTGAACAATGCAGAACTGCGCCGCGCGGCGCGCGCGGCGGCGGGTGACCCACCGTCCTTCGGCCTCCTTAAAGGGCTCCAGAAAAATTCAAATCCAGTTTTGGTAATTACATGTTGGCTTTTGTATTGTGAACAATGCAGAACTGCGCCGCATCGCGCGCGCGCGGCGGGTGACCCACCGCCCTTGGGCTCCAGAATAATTCAAATCCAATCTGGGGAACTACACGTCGGCTTTTGTAGTGTGAACAATGCTGAACTGCGCCGCCGCGCGCGCGCGCGGCGGGTGACCCAGCGCCCTTCGGCCTCCTTAAAGGGCACCAGAAAAATTCAAATTCAGTTTTGTGAATTACATGTCGGCTTTTGTTTTGTGAACAATGCAGAACTGCGCCGCCGCGCGCGCGCGCGGCGGGTGACCCACTGTCCTTCGGCCTCCTTAAAGGGCTCCAGAAAAATTCAAATCCAGTTTTGGGAATTACATGTCGGCTTTTGTATTGTGAACAATGCAGAACTGCGCCGCCGCGCGCGCGGCAGGTTACCAACCTTCTTTCGGCCTCCTTAAAGGGCTCCAGAAAAAAAAACTCAAATCCAGTTTTGGGAATCACATGTCGGCTTTTGTATTGTGAACAATGCAGAACTGCGCCGCATCGCGCGCGCGCGGCAGGAGACCCACCGCCCTTTCGGCCTCCTTAAAGGGCTCCAGAAAAATTCAAATCTAGTTTGGGGAACTACATGTCGGCTTTTGGATTGTGAGCAATGCAGAACTGGTGACCCACCGTCCTTCGGCCTCCTTAAAGGGCTCCAGGAACATTCAAATCTAGTTTGGGGAACTACATGTCGGCTTTTGGATTGTGAGCAATGCAGAACTGCGCCACGCGCGCGCGGCGGGTGACCCACCGCCCTTCGGCCCCCTTAAAGAACTCCAGAAAAATGCAAATCCAGTTTTGGGAATTACATGTCGGCCTGCGCCGCCGCGCGCGCGCGGCGGGTGACCCACCGTCCTTCGGCCTCCTTAAAGGGCTCCAGAAAAACCCAAATCCAGTTTTGGGAATTACATGTCAGCTTTTGCATTGTGAACAATGCAGAACTGCGCCGCCGCGCGCGCGCGCGGCGGGTGACCCACCGCCCTTCGGCCTCCTTAAAGGGCTCGAGAAAACAGTAAATCCAGTTTGGGGAATTACATGTCGGCTTTTGTAGTGTGAACAATGCAGAACTGCGCCGCCGCGCGCGCGCGGCGGGTGACCCACCGTCCTTCGGCCTCCGTAAAGGGCTCAAAAAAATTCAAGTTCAGTTTTGGGAATTACATGTCGGCTTTTGTATTGTGAACAATGCAAAACTGCGCCGCCGCGCACGCGCGGGGCGGGTGACCCACCGTCCTTCTGCCTCCTCAAAGGGCTCAAGAAAAATCAAATCCAGCTTTGTGAATTACGTGTCGGCTTTTTTACATTGGGAATTACCTTCGGCTTTTGGGTGGTGATGGTGGTGG